CCCCCTCTCCCCCCTTCCTTCCTCTCCTAATCCAACTAGGGAAGGGGCTAAATTTTTTTGAAATTACTTCGTTCTCCAACACTTTCGGGAGATCGGCAGAGTAAGTTGGCAGCCAAACAGTTGGTAGCCGAATTTTTAGTTGCCAAAAATGTTGGATAACCGTCTGATTCTCTCTACACGTCGTGAACTTTTCAAACCTACATATTTATACTCGTGACGCCGTTGTTGACTATTTTTTGCTACAAACAAGTGCGCAAGAGTTGCACCCGTGCTCACCGGAGCTGCAACGGGCCACGCCGTAGTTAATGTTTTGATTTTTTTTGCTACAATCACGTGCACCAGAGCTACACCCGTGCTCACCTGAGCTGCAACCGGCGACGCCGTCGTCGACATTTTTGCTACAACCATGCTCACAGATGCTACAACCGTGGTCACCGAAGCTACAACCGGAGACGTCGTCGTCGATGATTCGGTACAACCATGCTCGTAGATGCTACCACCATGGTGACCGGAGCTACAACCAGCGACGCCGTCGTTGATGGTTTGGTACAACTGGGCAGCCGGGAATGCTAGAACAGTTGGGGTTTTTTTTTGCTGCGACCAGCGGCAACTTTTGCCGAAACTCGTCGTGACTTTTGCTGGGACGTTGGTGGTTTTTTGCTGCAACCGGCGGCGAGTTTTGTTGGAGGCGGCGACTCTTTTTGATGGAACCAGCGTTTGGAGGTGATGGGATGCTGGAGGCTATCACACATGGCGAGCTCCCACCACTGACGCCAAAAAAACTGCAATCAGAGATGTTTCATGCAGCAACTGGCTAACAAGTGAGGATGCCTTGCCCCCACGCGCCTTGCTGCCAATGCTACAACCCGCCAACTGGTGGTGCTTCAACAGCTGGCAAACCCTAAATGGCACCTTATGCACCTGTTTCTTCACTATTCGCGAAAGGGCACACACCCCCTGCTGCGCTGAGCCGGCCCGTTTTCTCTCCTTTTTTTCTGTTCAAACTGAGGCAAAAATGAATGTGCAAAGGTGCGCTTTGAACTCGGGATCTCTTACTTTAGAGGACAGAGCACAAACCACCAGGACCAGCCGGCTCATGTACTCACATAATTCTTTAGCTTTATTTATTCTTTGACAAGGTCACGCTTCATTTTTGGAACGTTCTTTTTCTTTAACCATTTTGAGTTTCCTTTTTCTTTTCCCATTATGTGTTTCTTTTTTATTTTACTAAATGCACGAAGCTTTTAGAAATCTTGATTTTTTTCAAAATCAATGACTTTTTTTCAAATTCGTGATTTTTTAAACTCGATGAACTTTTTCTAATTGGATGAACTTTTTTCAAATTCAATAAACTTTTTTCTAATTGGGTGAACATTTTTTAAAATTGGTGAACTTTTTATCAAAATCATGAACTTTTTTCAAATTACATGATTTTTTTTTCAAAGTTGATGGACTTTTTTTAAGTCGATAAACATTTTCCAAAATCGATGAACTTTTTCCAAATTCATTGAATTTTTTCCAAATTTGATGAATTTTTTTTCAAAATCGATGAACTCTTTTCAAAATTGGTGAACTTTGTTTTCAATCTGGTGAACTTTTTTCATATTGGATATTTTTTCAAAATCAAATATTTTTTAAAATTTAATGAACTTTTATCAAAATCAATGAACTTTTTGTAAAAATTGATAAAAAAATCAAATGCGTTTTAGTTTTTTTGTTTCAAATTTGTTGAACTTATTTTAAAATCAATGAACATTTTTCAAAAAAATTGTGAACTCTTATCATTTTTTGTACTTTTATGATCATTTTCAAAAGTCAACGGACACCTATCAGATGGTCAACCAGCCAACCAGTTTTTTTAGACACAGCAAAGCAACAGAAGCGAGCGAGCGAACCTCTTCTTTTTTTAATAAAAAAAAGGAGCGAAGGACTGTAATCTCGTTCGAGCGTCCCGTGCACCGATCTATTTTTTGGGCCGGCCCAGTGTTGTGCCCTTCGAGCGCCGGCACTGAAAGCGCTCGGCAAAACATGGCCATATTGGCCTACCCGACCTGACACGGGAAAAGGGCTAACACGGGTGGTACCGGCTAGAACGCCTGGCCACGGGGATCGCCTTGGCACGCAATGTTAAATATGTATATAAAAATGTCTCAAAAAATATGTATATAAAAACTGTTGACCATGTATTAAAAAATTAAGAACTTTTTGATCATATATATAAAAATATCAATCAAGCATTTGAACAAAAGTTGAACAACTGTTTAAAAAATATTAATCAAGCATTTCGAAAAATGTGTACAGAAAAAATGTTGACCATGTATTCTAAAGTTTAAATCTTTTTATTGGAAAAGTATTAATCAAGTATCTCAAAAAATGTTGAAAATGTATAGAAAAAACGTTGATCATGTATTAAAAAAATGTTAACATTGTGTTTGAAAAATGTTAATCAGGCATTTAAAAATGTTAAAAAATGCAATAGAAAAAATTCTGATCATATATTTAAAAGTTAAATTTATATTTTAAAAATGTTAAACGTGTATTAGAAAAATAATGATCACATATACAAAAAATGTACAATGAAACCAAAAAAGAAAAAATAAAACTAAATAATAAATAAAATAAAGCAATGGAAGAATAAAATTAAAACAAATAAAAAATAGGAGAAGAAAAAAGAGGAGAAAACCGGTTTTACATGCTTCAAATAGGTTGCGGCCCCTTTACATAACACGACCAATGGCGTGGTGCGGTGCCTAGAGCTCCAGGGATTGATCCCTTGTGCACTCATTTTCCCTTCCCTTCTTCTTTATTGTGCGTTACGAAGTGGGCTGACCCGATTACTGTAGCCACATTGAGCGAGACATACTATTATCGCCCTGAATGCGCGATATAGTCGCCGCAAGATAAAAAGGCCAGGTCAGCACGGTATTGCTGCGGCCGACCAGCAGCGTTGCATTTCGCCTTGTGGGCGATTACGGTGTAAAAAATACATAAAATCTAAAATATTAAGAAAAGACAACAGAAAAAACGAAAAATGAAAAAAAAATGAAAATTAAGGAAAAATACAAAAAGTCTGTTAAATATAGGAACAAATTAAAAAATGGTCGTGCCATGCTCGGCCTTAAGGCTTGGCTTCAGAGATCAATCTTGTCCCATGGCGGGCCGAAGGCTAGCCCGACCTTTCTTTCGCGTGTCGTGGTCGTCCCATGCCATGTCGAAAATCAATGCGTTCAGGCAGGCCCACGAGGCACGAGCACGCCCCATATGGCCATGTTTGCCCGGCGACCCTCCTCCTATTTCCTTCTTCCTCGCGTTTCTCGTTTCGAGCACGAGTCTATGTTCTCGTTTCGATGGGCCAAGCCCCATGACTCATCCTCATCTCCTTCACTCTCCCTTCTTCCACATATTTCTCTTTTTAATCCACCTCGCTATCGGGCGGTCGAGCTCTCCTTCTTCCTACCAATGCCCACTGTTGCAAATGACTAAGCGGGGAACAGTGTCCTGATAAAGCAATCCCTCTAATCTCGGGGTGCTACCCATCATGTGACAAAATATCTGGCAATCCTAATTTGGAAAAACCAGATGGGTGACCTTCATATCAATTTAATTAGAATACAAGTGTTTCCACTTGTTCAACCGGCTCTCATTTTCGCTCGATTTACATGAAAACTGGCAGGGGGTTCCCTTTGGTTCGTCTATGGGTGGTCCACAAAGCTTAAAACCCGAGCAAGGCGCAAGTTCTGGTTTTCCCCAGTTCGACCAGCACCGATACATTTAAAAAGACTAGGTTGGCAACACAATGTCTGTTGATTGGTCTTCTTCTTCACTCTTCTTTGCCCCTCCGCAATGTCCATCCCTCCTCGTCATCGAGCTCTAGAGAGTCAAAGGTGTGTGTTCTCTCCCTAAGCCCAGTGAGCAAATATTTGTCCATTAGATTTGCCAATTTACAAACATTTCTTAATGGCCTTTATACACTTGTTTCTATATGCATCCTTTATACACTTGTTTATTTTGGGAACTTTTTTGAGGGGGAACACATACCTTGTTGGGCAGGGCTCACGGGCTGATCACGGACCGAACCATTGGACTTTCCTTGCTATATATGAGTTGGGCCTCAAAAGGTCCTAATTATGAGTAGTTTAACGTTAGGATTCCGTGGACGGGAAGGATCCAAATTAGCGCCGATTTATTCTCTTCCATCCGTTAAGGCAACCTACGATTACGGTTTCAAAAGCACCGCCGCCGCGCTCGTCTCGATCTTGTTCTCCAGGAAACATGAGCGCCGCCGCCGCCTCCGACTGGTCCAGCCTTCTGCCAGAGCTCCTCGAGGAGATCTCACGGCGCGTAGGCGACGTGAAACGCGACAGCGATGCGTTCGCCGCCGTCTGCAGACCGTGGCGCCGCGCGTCGAGCGCCACCGGCGCTCGGCTCAACCGCCACGCCCTGCACCTCGTGTCCCTGTGCTCCGGCGCCACCGCCGTCGACTTCTCCGACCGCGCCGGCGAGGTCAAGAAGACGGTCTACCTTGGGAGCGACGCCGGCGGCGCGCGGCCCCACCGCGTCATCGGCTGCTCCCGGGGCTGGCTCGTCGTCGTCGACAGGGCGTGCGGCGGGACGTGGATTTTTAGAACAGCTGCACCCCGGCCTTGGTATCCTGGTTGTCCAATATTGCTTTAAGATCTGTGCAACACAACTAACTTTTCGTATGAAAATTTCTTTTTTTTGTTTCTCTCACATAAAAGATGTCTTGAAGTTCAAACCTTTGCAACGTGGCAAAGCTTTCCATCTAGAATCTAGGATAAATCTTTCAGAATTTTTTGTCAAACATAAATATACAAAAAATGATTTTTTACATTAAAAAAATCGTTTTTGTATATTTATATTTGACAAAAAAATCTAAAAGATTTATCCTAGATTCTAGATAGAACACTTTGCTACGCTGCAAAGGTTTGAACTTCAAAAAATGTTTTATGTGAGAGAAACAAAAAAGAAAAATGTGTTTGCACGAATCGCGATGTGCAGAATGGATGGCTAGATAGAGAGGGCCCCGGTGCAGCTGTGCTATTTTATATTTTCGGCGTGCGGCGCGTCGCTCCTCGAGCCCGTAGCTGACGGCAGGCGGCTCCCGCTGCCGGACGTCACGTCGTTCGACTGCGGGTTCCTCAGGCCCTTGCTCGCCGACGACCACGGCGGAGCAGGCGCGTGTTTCTCCGTGGACAATCACGCGTATCGCTCGCACATCCGGGGCCCTAACAAGAAGATCCGGCCGTCGCCTCCCGAGACGGTGCCGATCCAGGCCATGCAAGACGAGTTCTTCCACAAGGCCGCGCTCGCCGTCTCGGGAGGAGACCGGCGGGAGAGTTTCACTGTGATGGTGATCCACAGCGGCGGCTCCGGGCTGGCGTTCGCAAGGCCCGGCGACAAGTGCTGGACGTCGCTCCGCACGTCGCCGTCCACGCGGTACCAGGACATCATCCACCACGACGGCGCCTTCTACACAATCACCCGCGGAGACGGGTCTATCGAGGCCTGGGAGCCGCCGGCGAACGGCGACCGCCGCACCCTGAAGCCGCGCCTCGTGACGGGGCCGGTCATGACGTGGGAGTTCAAGCGGTGCGTGGAGTTCCACACCGAGACGTTCCGGCAGCAGGCCTACTACGAGGGCGCCAGGTACCTCGCCGAGCGCGACGACGGCGGCCTTATCGTGGTGAGCACGGTGGCCATCTTCACCGACGGCAACGCCCTGCGGACGCGGCGCTTCAAGGTGTTCGCCGTCGACGAGCGCGAGGACAGGTGGCGCGAGCTGCAGGACATCGGCGACGACGTGGCGCTGCTGGTGGGGATCAACCACGGGAGGCGCGTGTCGACGCGGGAGTACCAGTGCATGGAGCCCGGCCGCATCTACTACGTGCTCAAGTCGTTCGCGCCCGAGTTCGACGCCATGGATGAGGACAGAGACGACGTGGAGGAATGCTCCAGGTACGAGAGCGGGGTGCACGAGCTCCGGACCGGCGTCGCCTCCAGGAAAGCCGTCTTCAGGCATGCCGCCGGCGGTCACCCTGTTTGGTTCGTGCCTCCAGTTCCTGCTGCTCCCCGCAGGTGAGGTAGCAGCCGTGACAACTGACACCACGCTGTGCGCACCCAGTAGCGACTTTTCTCTGTGAAAATTATGTGTTGTTTCAGAAATAGTAATTGTTCAGGTATTGTTTTGATCTGTCGAAATTCAAAACCGACATCTTCCTCCTCGAGTGCCGCGTTGTAACCTTTTTTTCAAAAACAAAATCATAATAAAATATTTGAAGTTTCAAAAAATGTCAAACTTTTTTCTACAAATACATATGCATATTCTTCAAGTATGTATAAAGTGTCTTCAAATACAACAAAGGAAAAGCTCATTTTAGTCTGTGTATTTATCTTTTTTTTGTGTACCTCACATATGAACATGTGTTCATGAAATTTTGTATGTGTACATATACTATAATATATGTCTATGTGCATGTCTTTTTTCTTCATATTTTTATGTTTTGGCGGCGAACACTCCTGAAGAAGAGGAAATTAGCCACGTTAGCCCTTTTTTGTTCGGGGGAAGGGGTTGCCGTCGCGAATGCCCCCCAATACGTTGTATTCGCTTTCCCCTTTCCCAGAGCCTCCCCCATTTCTCTACCCCGTCCCCCACTCCATCGATTTAGGCTACGACAATCGAGCGACGGCGGAGACAATGTAGAGGCGGATGTCGGCGACTGCGTGTGGGGATCCCTCTCGTGGCTTCATGCGAGGTCATGGATGATGACGCGGAGGCGGCGTTGTGGGCAAGGGCGTACGCAGGGATGCGGAGGCGGCTTCTCTCGACGATGGCGTTCATCGCTACCCTGGTTGATTTGGGCGAGGTCGACATCTCGCAGGTGATGGAGGCACTGGTGGACATGGACGGCATAGCAGAAGCGGTGCTGCCGACGGTGGACAAGGATGGACACGGGGGTGCGGAGGTGGTGCTCAATGCCGACTTCGAGTACAAGGAGTATGGCCTCCGAGATCTCTCCTTTTGACATGTTTTTCCTATCAATCTTTGTTCCCATGCTACTACTACTAGTAAGGTACACGTGCATTGCACACATGAGATTTGGCAACCAAATTATGAATAAATACCACATTATATATAGCATGTAAGTTTTGAGTCATTTATGCATGATGTAGATGTTCATTTAATTCTTATAGTTCATCTCATTCAAAATCATTTAGTTTTAACAAAAAGCCTACTTCCTCCGTTTCAGTTTATAAGTCTTGTGCGTATATCTAGATTGTCAATTTTATCATCCTAATATGAACTATATAACACAAAAATTATAGCGTTTGAAAATAGAACATCTAAAGTTTATATTGGTATATTTTTTGTAATATATGACTTGTATTAGGTTGGTCAAATTGACGACCTAGGGGTACGCGCACGCCCTGTAAACTGGGAGAGAGGGTGTAATCTATTTTAAGATTCATAAAATTGTGCATTGTAAAGCATAAAGTAAAAACAAATAATGGCAATTCATGTAGAAAAAAATTAGGCAATTATGATACAGAAGATTCTAGAACAAAGGAGAAATGCTTGTGTTTTGAGATTTTTGCATTATGCTTAAGTTCAACCATGGAGTCTTCTAAATTGTACATGTGGCAAAATCTGGTGAAATGTAGATGATATCCAACGGCCAGTAGTGCTGGGATTTGCCATCTCTGCACCGTCGGATTGCCTTCATCCAATGACCATCTTTCAAAGTTATTTGCACACTATATAAGGGTATAGATGCACCATATTAAAATGTTCCATCAGTTCTACAAAAAAGACGGTGGAGATGGCAATTATGCATTAATTTGTAGGAAGTTCATGTAATTTGTTCATAACATGGCAAATCCATATGTGGTCGCTTGGCAAATTCACTTACGTTATGTTTTTACACAAACATCGCAAATACTTGATTTTGTAATGTCCACATGGCAAAAAAATCCACTTACATTGTGTATAATCTTTGTAACGTCCCAGGAAATCTTTTGATTTTGCAAACTTGTCGCATGGCAAATTAATATATATTTTCGCTTTTGGTGTTGTGTTATAAGGTTGATAGCAGTTTTAGGAAAACAAAGTACAATACACATGGCAATTTCTTAATACTTTGGTGTATGGGTCATGGCAAATGTAGATAAAAAACATGTTCATTTTCAATAACAAATGGCAATTTGTTATGACACATTGCATTTTAGTTACTTACACAAGTGCACCATACTTTTTAAAAAACTTTTTGACACACAAGGTTGGCAACCAATTTGCACAAGCATGTCTAGGGGTCATAAAAATTGGCAATTCATTCAATCATACCATATCAAGTTTTATACGTTTATATTTTCGCAATGGCAAAAGTGTTTATAGCTTTCGCCATGTCTCCAATATAGCGTTTGCCATGTCATAAATTCAACTTTCGCCATGCCATAAACAGATTTTTTTTACCATGGCAGACCCATTAAACTCTTCGTTATGGCAAAAAGTTTAACACCTTTGCCAATCTATTTTTGCCATGTAACTGAGGCCCTGTTTGGTTCATCAGTCCTAAGACTTTTTTTAGTCCCAACTTATAAGTCTCAAGTCTCTAAAAAGTCCCTACCTGTTTGGTTCCTGGGACTTATAAGTCTTTATAAGACCATATTATAACTATAAGTCCCTATAAGTCCCTCTTTAAGAGTCTTATTTCATAAGTTTCAAATGCTCACTTTAAGTCCCTATAAGTCCCTCCTGTTTGGTTTAGATGGGACTTATAGGGACTTTTTTAAGTCCCTGGAAACAAACACCCTCTAACCTTTTCCCTACGTAATTTCTTAAAGTGCCATGTCTCAATAGCAGAGGAGAAGGGAGAGGGGGTAACCAAAATTTCTAAGGAGTAAGGATATTTTATTTTATAGATGTCTTAAACTACCATCTGGAGTAACAATTTCTATAGATGTTTTGGTTATAATAAATTGGAAAGGTAATGATGTTAGTGTAGTGTCTGTGACAAATGAAGGTTTCCAGCACCCAAATGTCGTTCCACTACATCCCTGCTAGCCTCCAGCCACATCGACACGCTACTAGGACAGGCCTCCGTTGTGAACTCTAATGAGCCTTCCCGCCGGCATCCTATGGGACCTGAAGCCTCCTTGCAGGGCTGCCAGCGAGAATCTACGAGAGGCTAACGAGAGGTCATGTATGTCTAGGGCTCGCTAGAGATATGTCTCGCCTGTTGCGAGGTGTAGCTCTGGCTCGCCGCTGGCGCCTGCATGTATGGGTTGGTCCGTTAGTGTTTTCTCGCTCGGTTGCTGCGTTCGCTCACTTGCTCGTCGGTGTAGAGTTTTCTTCTTCTTTTGTATATATTTTCTTTACTGCCCCGGTCTTATTGATTTTCCCTTACTTTTTTTTACTTTGTATTTTGTATCTTTCTCTATTTTGAACGGGTTTCTTTGGTTTACACAGTGTTTTTAATCTCTTTAAATTGGTTTTCGGTTTTTTTCTATTTCTTTATAAATTATGTTTCCTTTGCCTTTTCTCAGTTTTCATCTATTTTATTCATTTTTCACTATCTACTATTGCTTTGCATCAATTTCTTTGATTTTGTTTTGGGCTTTTCCAGTTCTTGTTCTTTTGTTCATTCTTTTATTTGGCTTCCGTTTTGTTTCTTTTTTTTCTCAGCACATGTCTATTTTTTCCATACATATTTTTACGTTTTTATCGTAAAACAGCAACACGTTTTTTCATTTTCAAAATATAGGATTAATAGGTTTGAAAAACAAATTATGTCAACATTTTTTTATATGGATTGAACATTTTCTTACAAAACATGAAAAAAATTGTATATATATTGTAAAATTTCAACTACATGATTTAGTTTTTTCCAAATATATATTTTAGTGTCTCCTTTTTTAATATGCATTGTACATTTTTATCGTATAAATACACATTTTGTGCACGTGAGACATTTTTCAAATACATGATAAACGTTTTTATGAAGTATATGTTTTAAGATCCACTTTTTTAATAATACACATTGTACACTTTTCGTATACACCTGAAATATTTTTTTATGCACGATAAACATTTTCGAAACACATGTTTTAAACTTTTGTTTGAATAAGTTTAAACAATTTTCCAATACACGTTGAAATATTTTTTTGAATGATATCAACATTTTTTAAAACTATGTAGAAATTTGTTTTCAATTCATAAATATTTTTAATAGATGATTAACTTTTTCTAATATGTATTTTGACATCTACTTTTTCATACATATTTGTACATTTTTGTATATACTAGAAACATTTTTCTATGCAAGTTTAATATTTTTCAAATGCATGATCAATGTTTCCCTGGATATATGATTTTGATATTTATTTTTTGGATACGTGTTATTGTTAAAAAAAAGTCGTGCTTTCGTTTTTTCAAGTAATTTTTGGTTTGAAATATGAGCAAAGGCTAAAAATAACGTTTTTTAGGAGGGAAGTAAAAAATAACTAACAGGCAGGCTCTTGAACTCACGCCTACTACAACTAGCGAGCAGTTCCTCCCAGCTGTGGCCTTAAGCACATTTTTAGGCTATTCTTCACAAAACAGCGCACACCGGTTTTGGAAAGCTACTAGAAACTTTGGATGCTTTCTTATGTTTATTCTGAATCGGGGTTTGTTCTATATTATTCTGGCTTTTTAGGCTTTTTACTCGTCCTTTTTAAAATTTGGAATTATTTTCCAATTCCATGTTTTTGTCAAACTTTTCATTTCCGTTTCCCCTTTTTTCCTTTTATTGATGAGCGAACTTTTTTCAACTTCGAAACTTTCTTCAAATTTCATGAACTTTATCCAAGTCGGCCACACAAATACACACTCAATAAATATATATACTGTATATACACGTCGATGACCAAGGCCGCATACATGGATGGACGACGCATGAACTCAATCAAGTTCACTTGCCGAAGGTGATGGGGTAGACCTTATCAGTGCTGGGGTAGAAGAGCCCCCAGTTCTGCTCAACGCCGGCCTCCTTGAGGTTCTCGTTGAACATGGAGAACACGTACGTCTCCACCTTCCACGGCCGC